GAGAACTAAGCAAAACGATTCGAGTTGATTATTGTATAATGCCCGTTAGAAAATTCCTTCAAAATCTGAAAATTCTCATCTCTCTTTCACAAGAGTGAATTTAGATAAAGAGAGGATAAAGCTTTACGTTCTCGTTTTTGTCTTCACTGCTAGCTTAGGACACGGTATATTAAATTTTCATCTCCTTTTGTTGCATTTTATTGTCGCTATTTTCAACCCTAACCTCGATAAGCCTGTGAGTCTCATTTGAATTTTAAACATAAGTATTTCGATGATTTCACGTTGCAATTTGAAGACTTCTTTTTTACTTTACTTAAAAATGTCAATTAACACAGTAACACTACATGTCAAAATTAGTGCTTTTCATTTCGTGAATCTCACAGGTTCACTGTCAGAAAGATAGATGGGCAGTATTTGCGAATCGAGACAAAATTTATAAGCGGGATGCGTTGAAGAATTGTGCAGAACTTTAAACGCAGTAATGAGCCATGAAAGCTTAGGCAGAACTGTATTGCCCGCGTAATATCTGCTGTAAGCATTCTTCTGGCCGCAAATACGATGCCATTGCTTATAAATTTGCACGCACGTTGCTCTTGACAATTGGCTAAATTGATCGAAAGAGCGCAGCTCGCAGTGCAAGACCAATTGAAAACGTCTATGTTTTCTGAGGCTTTTGTCCGTTACGTACAAGCGACAATAGACATGCGATAAAAATTTTCACGTTTATCCTACAAAACTACAGTCGCGCCTATCCAATGCTATAGAGTATGGAAATTTAGATATTAATTATTTTCGTGGTCTTTTCTAGAAGATAAAGATGTTGAATGTAAAAATTTCGGGCTTAGACGAATGTGATTTTCTTATTTCTTTTATATTTGATGATTTCTCGTACAGACACACTTAGAAATCAAAATATATATGATTTGTTTATAAAGTTTTATGTTATGTTAATATGTAGCTTTTTTTATAAATTATCAAGAATTTCTTCTCCATTTTTCTTAGTATGAGCATGTGAGATTCATCATGATATGTGGCTCGATTAGGGTTAAAATATCTTATATATTACAGGAACTTGACCTCCTTGTCAGTTTTTAGCGAATTTGTGTAGATTTGAAAGGAATCGGAAATTTTTTCGTTAAAATCTCTCTTACGATGGTCTTCCACATTTAACAAAATTTTAAAAATTTCCGTACAACCGCTTGAGTTAAATATGCAAAATTCATTGCGTGCGATGAATGTAAATTTCTTATTTATTTTTGCTTCAAAAAAAAAAAAAAAAAAAAAAAAAACTATTTTTCTTTTGAATTTGCTTACCAAAAATTTATCTCTATTAAGTTTTATAATATCAAAAGTATGCTGCATGTCTTAATTTTATAAACTGCAGACAGTATTTCATCTGTTTGATATCGTACGTAAATTTGTTCATTTTGCTTTATATATAAAAGAAATGAAATTTTAAAATTTAATTTTTTCAAGACTTTTTTTTTTCCCCCCAAAATAAAATTTAAAAAAAAAAAAAAAATTAACAAAAAAAAAAAAAAAAAAAAAAAAAATGAAAAATTAACAAATAAAATAAAAATAGAATTTTTTGTGTTTCTCTTTTTTTCTACGCCTAAGGTTTTTTTATCGCCTTTGTTTTAGAAGTGAACAATAAATAAAAACAAAAAAGAAAAAAAAAGAAAATGAAAACAAGAAGGTTAAGTCATATGCACAAAGAATAAAAAGAAACGCGTCGACTTTGTTTTAGCGTTAGTTGTAGAATCGTTTTTTTTTTTTTTATTTTTTTTTTTATTTATTTAAATTGTTTAGGGTTTTTTTTTTAAGTTATTATTCTTTTAAACAAAAGCCTCGACTGACTATAAAACCATATAATGAGAACAAAAACCATTTCATGCAAGGTTTTAAAAACACAAAATGAAAACCGGAGGGAAAATATTGTCCTTGCCAGAGAAAAAAGAATTTGAAATATTGCATAAGTGCATATGTGCGATTTTTGTTCTTCTTTGTGTTCCTTGGGTGTGACGCGATAGTTTTTGTCTTTTGTGTTTTTGCTTTTGCTTTTTTCTTTTTTCTTTTTTTTTTTATGAAGAAGCCGTTGTTGATGTTGCGTTGACACGGTGACGCTATGAGTTTATATGTTTGTTACCGCATTGAGGTATAAAATCTCATAAAGTCGAACATCGTTATCTGCATTTAGATACCTCTATACACTATGAAATGAATCACCCTGATATAATCCTTGCATTTTTCTGGCATAATATCTTGTTCAAACTTATTCTTAGCAGATTATGTTTTCACACCAACGCAAACACTGCAAAACGAAAAGAAAAAAAAGCGATAAAGTTTTGAAATTTTTCAAAAGAAATACTAACACGTAAGTGTATATGAATTAGCGGACGTTCTTGAAAAGTTGCTTCACCTAGGAGGATGTAGTGAACTCCATGTCCATTCTTATTGCGTACTTACTTTGGCCTAACTAACGCCTTATAGTTTCCATTATGAGTTCTAAGAGAGGACGCGTCAACTTTGCCAGTTCAGATATATAGTTTTCACAAGTAACCCCATCACTGTACAATTTTGACTAGTTCTGACATGTCCTTGTTTCGCTATCCCTCATCTATTGTTAGAACAATGAAAGTGTTAAAATTTGTAACAAAAGCCTGCAGCATAACACATACGCAGTTTCCGTTGTACATACATTGCTACAACCAATTTCAGAAATCAAATTGATCTAAAATGTTGAATAAATTTAAAAAAAAAAAAACCGAAAAACTGATAACATAATAATATACAATCTATACAAGATATTCGTCTATATCTGATATATAGTACAAAGTACTTCTAACAAATAAATAACAAAAATTTTGAAAGCAAATATAGTTTCAATTGACTTTCTGAGGCGTCCTCGTCAATCCTTATATATTCATTTAAGACTCGCCTCAATAAGACTCATTTCTGCTTGATCATTTTTCATTTGTTCACTAGGGAAAAACCTAAAGCAGCTACCAAACAGTACTCCATAGTTTTTTTTTTTTTTTTTTTTTTTAATATGATCAAGAGATATGTGCCTTTCGTGTAGCATTGTGACGGCTAGAAAGAAGTGGAGAAAGGGCAAAAGTCAGGTGGCCGCATCTCAATGGATGTGCGTACTCAATAAGTAAGTGTTACGCCTATAACGACTAAGCACTCACTATAGCGACGACCAAAATAAACTATACTACACGGAGCTATATCAAATTATTCGGATACGCTTGTGGATAATAGCGCTAGCTTTCAACTAAAATGGCGAAAGAAAACATTCTTTGTCCGCTATGATGGAGGAACGAGAGATACAGAGGCGAGACCATATGCAATAAATGTATTTTTGATAAGTAGATGTCATGCACGTGTCCATCAATGACGGGTGAAGTTTAACTTAGTCTTCCGAGATGCAAAGTGCGAGCAGCTCTGAGAGACGTTCAAGAGTAAATGGACGTTTTTAATTTTTCCTAGAAAATTGAAATATCTGTCTGATGGGAAAAATTTCTTGGAGTTCACGTAAAAGTTCGAACAAAGAACTTCACGTTCCCATTTAACTTCCTTTACTCACGATAGTGAATCATCTCTTGCTGATTTTTTGAATTCTAGAAGAAAGAAAGGAAAATTACTTATGGTATAGAGCGACATTTTTAAGCTAAACAGTGGCATTCAATTGATAAACATCAGACTTCGCGTCACACATATCCCATCTTATATATCGTTCAATCGAATTTCGTCAGGAACAGCTCTGCAGCAAACGACACACGAAACGTTAACAATAAGACAAAGAGTCTGAAATTGCCTTCTTAATGTTGGCTGGTTCCTCAAAAAGATGTGACATGGATCTAAATAGGTTGGAAGATAAGAAGATCTTGTATAAAATGCATTTATTTCTTGGATTAGGTTGTTATCCTGGACGAATTTTAGTCAACATAATCCTCTAATGTGAATGTGTAAGTCAAAACACTTTGTACAGTTTAGGCTAAGGACGTCATTGCCATACAAAAAATGCAAAAGACAGGAGAAAAGAGAGGAAGAGAGACTTTTCAGTATGTATTTTAAATTTCTATTTGTTCAGCCAAAGCGAAATTTTATTGAGATGCAACTGGCAAAACGTAAAAAATTCTGATATAAAACCAGAGACAGATAGAAAGACATATAGCTAAGTCGATTTCCTTACTTACCCTGATCGAGAACAAACAGACCTTGATTCCAACGCATACTTCAGTTTAGGTATATACTACGCTTGGTGGTGGCTCCAAAAGGTTCGTAATTGAGAGAGAAACAATTTTCCTTCTTGTTAAGTAAGGAATGATATCTTCATTTACTTCCCTGCAGTATTCAGCCTAAAAACATGCTAAGAGTTCTTTTTTGATGGTTTGATTGCTCATATTTTCCTTGTTACAGCAAATTACTTACAAACATTTATTGTATCTTCTATCTTTTCAGAATCAAAATAATTAATAAATAAATAAAAAAAAAAGCTAAAAAATGTTATTCAGATAATAAAATTAAAAATTTATTAACTAAAAAATTACAAATTATATTGAAAAGCAATCACTTGGTCATGAGTATATATATATAAAAATTTAGAAACAGATAATTTAAAAGAGAATCTGTAAGAGAAGATTTGTTCACCTTTTTTTTTACATATAGGAAACCTCTTTTCTGAAAATTAGCAAAAAAAAAAAAAAAAAAAAAAAAAGAGTAAAGAAAGAAAGAAAGCCCAACCAGGTAAATTCTCTCCATTAACAAGCAAATATTTTATTTTCTTCCTCTACTACACGACAACTATTATTAACGTACAACGATGACGACAACCTGCGGCAACATACGACATCAAATGCATCGGCGTTTCTTTAAAAACTCCACACCCACACCCATGGAACGGATGATAAATTAATAATAATTAAAAAAAATATAAATAAATAATAAATAAATAAATAAAATTGCAAAATAAAAAAAAAAAATAAATAAATAAATAAATAAAAAATTATACCAAATTATTTAATATTAATTTGAAAATGGCTTTTATGGGAAAACAAATGAAATGCTTCCATAAAACAATTGCGTGACATACCGCTTGGCACGCAATATGTACGCAACGCCACCGTCGACATTGCAACATTTTGGATAAACTGCACACACGAATTATATTATTATGAATATTGCTATACGCACACAAACGTTTGATTTGCAATGTTGCCAATGATGATGATGACATCGTATCTCTTGACACATCTTGTAATAACCGATGATTTTCGGCTTTTTGCATATAAACGAAACAATTCCTTAATAAACGACTGAAATTCATAATCCAAAATAATTAACATACAAACGAACACATCAATTGGACATTAAAACAAATATTGATTACGCAACATATTTTACATAACTCGCAATATTCCTCCCAAAACTGCGGAACGAAACATGGACGCTTTGTCATTTCACATCAAATTGTTGACATCCTTTGGTAATTGTACTTTCAAAAATATATATAGAGAAACAAAAAATTAAAAATAAAACCTTAAAAAAAGAAAACCACGAAAAAAGAAAACTAACACTAGCCACAGAGTAAGTCTAGTAGCAAAAAAAAAAAAAAAAAGAAAGACCAGACCGAACATTTGAGAGAAGAAGAAAGCTCTCAAAAGATTGTAAGCCTTAGATGAATTGGTGAAAGACAGCAGCTTTCATAAGCAACAGGCTCGTTGTTAATATTTTATTATTATTATTATTATTGTTGATATTGTTGTTCCCTTAATTCATTCGCTATTTGTTTTGTATACATTTTACGTGTACACAAACGCATGTAATCAGGAGAAGAAGAAGAAAGTAAAAGCAGCAGCCGTAAGCAATTTAAGCAAATAAATATTCAAGACTGTTGCCATTGTCGCTTAAAGTTGTGTTGTCGTCATCGCCATCACCACCATCATCGTCATCATCGCCCGTCGTAGTTGTCGTTGTGTGCGCGTTTTTGTAAATAATGGGGCTGCAAATGGCAGCATTGCCACAAGCAGCCAATTTTGTTGCAGTTTCCCTCATAATATTACTGATCTGGACGCCCGTTTTTATTGATGCAGTCCGTGAGTACATTTTTAAATAATAAATTTTTATATACGATAAAAAATGAAAAACATTTTCACATACTTTCCAAAGACCAGAAAGGCACCTCCTAGGCCTCTTAATATAGAATTAATGCTGCTAACAACAGCTTTGATTATAAAAGTAAAATTCCAAGGTCTGTTGAACGTAGATATCTCTTCCGATTCGATGCCATAGTTTAAGTTTCAGCCATACAATGCCGAGATAACAATCTTACATTTCTTTAAGTTTTCTTCTTTTTTTTTTCCTTTATTTTAATTTAAAATTTTACAAACGGTTCAAATCGAACTCATCAACAACTGCTCGTATGATAAATGGATTGATATTATGATAATTTAGCGCATTTTGCCTAAAGGGAGTCAGTTCAACTCAAGCATTAAAACCGAATATTTCAATGAAAAGAAAATACATTTTTTTTTTTAAAGAAACTTTATTCAGGACAGTTTTTTAAAAGACACTTCTAGCAGATTTTTCCATTATATTTATCACAAACACGTTTTCTTTTACCTACTTTGAATCGTACTTGGTGCCGCATTTGATGGCATGCATTGGCTAAATGGACACCTGTCTCCCGGTGAGAATAATTGCCTATCAGCTGTTGTAAGCGCCTGAATAGCTGAGTAGGTAAGAACCACAACTACCAAATCAAATCTGAAGGGCGAGTGAGGCACAACACTTATCGATTCGGCACACACCCACTAGGCTCCCATTGCTTTCTCTTTTCGTATTCCATAAGCAGGGAAAATCCGCTGTTTAAAAAAGGATTACTTGCTCCATGTGTATAACAAGTTGACTTGTTTCCCATAAATTTTCCACAGACCACTGAAATCAGAGTAAATTTATATGTTTTCAATCGTTCACTTGGTTCATTTTTATTATCGAAACGTATAAATCAAAGTATTTCTCCGAGCTTATCTCTGCGCATTGGTCGGGAGAAAAAAGGTGCCTCCCGTACGCTTTAAATTTCTTTCCTTACAAACTCGTCTAATGTACAAAATCGCTAGAAAGTCACGTAAAGCTGATTTTGTTACTACCCGCTGTTCTTGCATCGTCTTCGTCAATTATCAAAGCAGAAGGATTTGTTAATATTCTGTTTGGCAAAGGAGGTTGGCTCTAATTTGCTTTTGAATTTGGTATGACCGGGAAATTGACCAGAATTTCTAGCATCCCAATGTTCGCCACGAGATCCATCCGTAGCGCTTAAATCACTTTCGATTTTATGATGTGAAATATATCCTTAGAAGTTATATAACAATCACTGTCACTGGAGCTTGATTCACTTTCAGATAGAAAAGAAACTCTCTGTTTTCTAGGAACCCTATGAGACGCATCAGATTCGATATCTGATTCGTTTTCCCTTATTTGCGTCAGCTGTTCCGAAATTCAAAATGACTTCGATTCTTTACCATTATATAGCGATAGAACTAAAACATTTACTTACTTATTTTTGTGTTACAATTCAACTCTCTTGACTCGACTCATCTTGCCTTGCGCAAGTAGTTCTCCTATGTGAACCTTTTACTGTAGCTATCTGTATCTAGTTTTGTTGTGATATTTTCTTACTAATACCTTTTGATTTGCGATAAGTTCTAGGAATGGTTGTCTTTTCACCAGTCGTTAGTTCCATCGGCATATAAAGCATCATGAATCTGTATTTTGGATTAATATGGTTATCATTATTACTAAGCCATAGCTACTTCATGAGATGTGGGAGGGGTTTTATATTTTTGCTCGCGTACACTCCTAGGACGGTTACAACCAAAAGAAAGTGCACTTACATGCCACTTACTGAATGCGCGCACTGAGGAAACCCTAACGTAACAAACAGAGATCCTATGTACCGCTAGGCCTTTTCAATACCGGCGGTGCCTGTTGGTCTCCCTTCGGCTCCAAAAAAGTTGGTGAGTCAATTTGACTCACATCCGTCGTAATACATGCACGTTTCCCAAATTAAAGGATGAGATGGGAAAGAAATTTTTGTTTGTATAATTTTCGTAGTTTTATTAAAACCCAATGCTAGTTAGTTTTCCCCTCTTCTATAGCAATAGAATCGTAAATGAGTGAAATTTACTCGCATCGGAAATTTAGTTTTAATAGTCCTTAAGAAATCTCTTATGTGTATTAACACATTCGCGGACGCTCAAGCGAATTCATGTCATTTCATATTCTATTCCTGATTAATAAATGAATCCTTATTGTATATCTTTAAAGTAAGTATAGGAATTATAAAAATTTTTTATTTGTAGGAAGACATAGTTACAACATTATTAACTCAAAGCAAATTTTATAATTTTAATCCTTACTCGAACGATACCAGCTTGCTTGACCCAGCTCCAATAGAAACGGTCCTGAATACATTTTGCTCCAAGTACTAAAAGTTCTGTTTCAAACCACAGGAGCATTTTCATAAGAGAAGTTTTGCTGCTTTGGCAGAGACAAAGAATGGAGTTTGACTCTTGGAAAAAAATTTTATTTCTCTTCGTCTAGATTGCAAGCATTCCCTATACGATTCATTTTTTCGAATTCTTCAAACATTAAACTTGGTTTCTTCAATACCGACCTTTATAAGATTTAAAAAAATGAATTCAAACATCCGAAATTCTATTTAAGGGCGAAACAAAGGAATGCCTTGAATTGGTTTTTCTCATTTCCAATCAGCAAAAAAGCTTCTTCTTTGTTTTCTTCAATTTTCAATAGTTTTTCTAAATTGAAAAAAGAAGAACGAAAAAAACCTATCAACTTTTGATCCTTAAAAACCGTAAGTTTTCTAAATAATTGCTATTTGGATGATTGGAAAATTAAAATGTAGCATAAGTTTTTTTTTTGTTAAATGTTTTCTAATACTTTGTGGAAATGGAACTCAACAAGTGTTTACTAGATCTCCCTCTCCCCTGCATAGCATCGAAAAAACTTATTATAAATTTTTTTTTCAATTTCCATATAATTCTTGCTTCGAAATATCCATTTAGGCTGCCATGAATACGCTACGCACACATATGCATATAAAATAGATTTCCATAAATTTCCTATTTGTTCTTCAATTAGAATTTCAATTACAATATATATGCATCTAAAATGTAATTAAAGGCAGAGCTACTAGTGAAAGAGAAAGACAAGGAGAGATAGGGAGAAGAACAACATCCCGGTATAGTAGATAAAGATTGTTGTCAACATTTAATAATTACCGTATAGAAAGTGCATAGAATTGTGTAAACCTTTACTCTATTTCAAAATTGTTACTTTAGAAAGTAATTTTCTTTGCCATACTAAGTGCGCCGGCATAGTAGATGAAGGGTAAAGCAAATTGTGTGCACACAGTCTAACAGAGTTTGTCCGTGTAATGATGACTTTGTAATGAGTTTAACTAGGCTATGTACATATATGGTATCTTCTTAGTAACTGAACACTTATTAAGGCATATGCATATGAGACCGGTGTGCGATGAATTCACACACGGTTATGGCAATGTGTCAATCAATATGAACACAATGCGGAACAAATGCATACATATTAAAAGGTTATATAAATGGCTAAATGCTTAGCTGACCTAACCAATCATCGTCGTCATAATTATCTGGCCCCCGTTTTTCCCATCCATGTCTATGATGTCTAAATCGAAATTTATCAGAGACTTCTAATGCAATGCATTGAAAACTCTTACATTAGCATCGAATCTCTATGCTATAAACACTGACATCGCTTTATTTATGTATGCCGCTTCTCCTCTCCTTTCCCTGCCAATCCTCGTGCTTTGTAATTGTACAATCCAATCGACAAAGACATTAGAACTCATTTCGAAAAAGATTTCGATGTCTTAAATGTAATATACGTGAATGTGGCTGAATGAATGAATGAATGTAAAGTATGTGAGTGTGCTTGAATGAATGATCGAATGAATGAATGAATGAATGTATTGCAATTGTAAATCGATTGCTTTTAAAATACCGAAAATTTCTATTTCTATTTTAATCATGGCACATGTCACACTTCAACTCCCTGACAGTTACACTTCTCTGCCCTGAAAACAAATTCATGTAAATTTAATGGAAAAGAAGAATTAAACATATCGAGCATTTTCCACAAAATTAATCTCTACATCATGCTAAGGTCTTTGTACAAATCCGCTCGTTGCTTTAAACGAAATCCAAAAAAAATTAAATTCATCTTACTCACTGACTGATGAATTTTATTCCTCAACATACACTGATGTCTAATTCGAAATTTATCGTTATTTTATAACGATCCCAAGTTAATCATTAGTTCAACCCTAACTAAATTTCTTTTCCCTATTGATTGTGGGCTTTGCTTGGTTTATTTTTTTAGTCAACTCTTCAAATTGCTTTTTAAAAATCACTGCAAATTATCGAGAAAAGTAATTAAGAATATTAAAGCTAAGCATCACGGCTGAAATTACATGCACTAACGAGTCAAAGTGTTAGGTATACAACTAAGTTATGCGTATTTGTTTAAAAAAATTCAAAATTTATTTAGTTGTTCTAAGTTTTCTTAACCGAACTATTCACCAGCACTACGTATGCCACTAGGCCGTCACAGTGGAATCTACTTAGTTTCAAGGTCAAACAACGAAAATATCGAAGTATACTAAGTATAACTGGACAGCGAGCTGAACAACTGCTAAGCAAAACAAAACTAAATCTGGAAAATAATTTGCAATTTGCAGAAGAAGGTTCCGGTCCGAATTAAAAATCGCTTCCTCGTTTTTTTTTTCCGCCTTCTGACGGGCATTGTCACTTTTCGATTTCCGCATTCCGAAGCGCATTACTTACTTTGGCTGGGGAGCTTTAGAAGCTCTACAACTTCGTTGTGAATGAATTCTTTCCAACGCTAGGGGCAGCAGGGAAGTATTATCCTCGAGACTATCATTTTTGCACGAAATCTTGCAAATCATTTTCTAGTCGTTTGACAGCTTATTATATTTTCGCTCCAAGCCAATCATGCAGTGCCGAACTACTGCTCGTTG